ACATATAGTAGCAGTAGTACTCTAACTATCACTAGAAAAACTGGTAACCTGTAAATATATAGTAGTAGTAGTACTCTAACTATCACCTGAGAAACTGGTAACCTGTAAACATATAGCAGTAGTAGTACTATAACTATCACTAGAAAAACTGGTAACCTGTAAACATATAGTAGCAGTAGTACTCTAACTATCACCAGAGAAACTGGTAACCTGTAAACATATAGTAGCAGTAGTACTCTAACTATCACCAGAGAAACTGGTAACCTGTAAACATATAGTAACAGTAGTACTCTAACTATCACCAGAGAAACTGGTAACCTGTAAACATGTAGCAGTATTAGTAGTACTCTAACTATCACTAGAAAAACTGGTAACCTGTAAACATGTAGCAGTACTAGCACTATAACTATCACCAGAGAAACTGGTAACCTGTAAACATGTAGCAGTAGTACTCTAACTATCACTAGAAAAACTGGTAACCTGTAAACATGTAGCAGTACTAGCACTATAACTATCACCAGAGAAACTGGTAACCTGTAAACATGTAGCAGTAGTAGTACTCTAACTATCACTAGAAAAACTGGTACCCTGTAAACATATAGTAGTAGTAGCACTATAACTATCACCAGAGAAACTGGTAACCTGTAAACATATAGTAGTAGTAGCTCTATAACTATCACCAGAGAAACTGGTAACCTGTAAATATATAGTAGTAGTAGTAGTACTGTAACTATCACCAGAGAAACTGGTACCCTGTAAATATATAGTAGTAGTAGTACTGTAACTATAACCAGAGAAACTGGTAACTGGTAAGCATGAAGATCAGTAAAAATGAGATTTTAGTAACATGTTTCAAAAAATAAGTAGGGATGCAACAAGAATTATATGTTGTGAATTGGGCAGTTGACTTAATTGGAGATACTGATCAAATATGAAATATTTCTAAAATACATTTTCAAATAATCGAGAGAGAAGTTCCATATAAAAAAAGGCTGGCTACAAGTGAAAAACTAGGTTGGTTGAAAAAAGGTATAAGGAGTAAAATTAAAGTAAAGCACCACAAATTTAATAAGATTAACTTTACTGCTGTAACAGGAAACTTAGAAGATTAAGAAAGCTGGTCAAACAGGAAATTAGGAAATCAAAAGGGTATATGAAAATGGTTGTCCAAAAATATAAAACTAAAAGTAAGGACTTTTTAAATAGATTAAGGGTAAGCAGAATGTTGGGATGTGGGTAAAGCATTTTAGGAATGATAATAAAGGCCCATTTCTAATGATTATACGATGACTTGGTTAATAAATTCTAATTTTTCTTTAATTTTTACTAATGACAAAGATTTTAGCACTATTCCTTGTCATGAACAGTTGTTAGGTGGAAACAAGATCAAACAAGACAATCATATTAATTTCTAACTTGTTAAGAAAAAATTGGGAAGTTTAAAGAAAGATAAGGCTCCTGTACTAGATAATATTTCCCCAATGGTTTTGAAGGAGGTTAAAGATTGGATATGTGAGCCGCTTACTATTTTTTATAAGTTCTTGAATAGAGAGCAGGTACTAGAGGATTGGAAGTTAGCTAATGTAACTCCTCCTTTCAAAGAAGATGATAAAAATTGTTCCAGTAATTATAGGCCTGTTAGTTTTACATCCATGATAGTAAATTCTCTCTGTTGGTGTGGGGGATAGGTTGGCTCATGGGATAGAAAATTGGCTAGATGGAAGAAAGCAGAGTTTTTATAAATGAAGTTCTGTCAAACTTTTTAAATGTCATATGTGGGGCATCTCAAGGTTCGGGATTAACAACTTTGATATTTTTTATTTACGTCAATAACATAAAAGAAGGAATGGTTAATGAAAAACTTAAATTTGCTGATGATATTAAGGTCTTCTGTGTTGCTGATTGTGAGAAGAATGCTACTGCTTTACAAAAGAATTTGCATTATTTGATAAGTTGGACAAATAACTGGCTGATAACTTTAATTATAATAAGTACAAGGTAGTGTATGTGATTGATAATAGTTTGAATTATAAATAATTTAATACTTCAATACTGCAGTGGTTCAGTAGTAAACAAAGAAATATTTCTTACTTTGACTTGTAGTATTTTAATACTTCAATACTGCAGTGGTTCAGTAGTAAACAAAGAAATATTTCTTACTTTGACCTGTAGTATTTTAATACTTCAATACTGCAGTGGTTCAGTAGTAAACAAAGAAAAATATTTTACTTTGACTTGTAGTATTTTAATACTTCAATACTGCAGTGGTTCAGTAGTTAACAAATAAATACTTCATCCTTAGACTTGTAGTATTTTAATACTTCAATACTGCAGTGGTTCAGTATTTAACAAATAAATACTTCATCCTTAGACTTGTAGTATTTTAATACTTCAATACTGCAGTGTTTCAGTAGTTAACAAAGAAATACTTCATACTTAGACTTGTAGTATTTAAATACTCCAATACTGCAGTGTTTCAGTAGTTAATAAGGAAATACTTCGTACCTAGACTTGTAGTATTTTAATACTTCAATACTGTAGTGGTTCAGTAATTAACAAGGAAATACTTTGTACTTAGGCTTGTAGTATTTTAATACTTCAATACTGTAGTGGTTCAGTAATTAACAAGGAAACACTTTGTACTTAGGCTTGTAGTATTTTAATACTTCAATACTGTAGTGGTTCAGTAATTAACAAGAAAATACTTTGTACTTAGGCTTGTAGTATTTTAATACTTCAATACTGTAGTAGTTTAGTATTTAACAAGGAAATACTTAGTACTTAGGCTTGTAGTATTTTAATACTTCAATACTGTAGTGGTTCAGTAATTAACAAGGAAATACTTCGTACTTAGGCTTGTAGTATTTTAATACTTCAATACTGTAGTGGTTCAGTATTTAACAAGGAAATACTTCGTACCTAGACTTGCAGTATTTTAATACTTCATATCTTTCTTCTCTTAGCAGTTCATGATTTCTCCAAAATGCTAAATCACAGAGTAGTAACAGTCTAGCTCCAGCTGATAAGAGAAAGACAAAGCACTTTACTGTAAAATCTTCATAAAAATGAGATAATCAAGCACAATTGAAAATTATACTCTACTCATAAATATAATTTTTGTTTACCATATTCAGTACAAAACAATTATCCAACAGTATTCTGAAGGAGTACATTCCTTAATACTCTCAGTAAAATTCAATTATCTAACAGTATTCTGAAGGAGTACATTCCTTAATACTCTCAGTAAAATCCAATTATCTAACAGTATTCTGAAGGAGGACATTCCTTAATACTCTCAGTACAAAACAATTATCCAACAGTATTCTGAAGGAGTACATTCCTTAATACTCTCAGTAAAATCCAATTATCTAACAGTATTCTGAAGGAGGACATTCCTTAATACTCTCAGTAAAATCCAATTAGTTAACAGTATTCTGAAGGAGTACATTCCTTAATACTCTCAGTACAAAACAATTATCCAACAGTATTCTGAAGGAGGACATTTCTTAATACTCTCAGTAAAATCCAATTATCCAACAGTCTTCTGAAGGAAGATGTTCAATAATACTCAGTACAAAACAATTACTTAATGGTCTTCTGAAGGATGACATTTCTTACTACACCCAGTGAAAACCAGGATATTCAAACTGTGGATTATAATTCAAATTTTAGTATTATACGTTATTTAATTTCTTAATTTAAAAGTAAATATTAAAAAACACACCTAAACATCAATTTTTGTGTCACGTGGTATTTTACATGCTCCAATTAGATGTTTGTGATGTCAAAATACTAAGTCTATAGTTTTGTACTGAAATTACCGGTATTGACAAGCTAGACTATAAAATAAGAACCTCATATCTTTTCTATTTGCTGAGATATCACTCATGTACTGAATCAAACAAAAGTGGCCCTGCTCACCTCTTTCATTTTGGGAAATGGTCCCTTATATACACTTATTTCTATATATGACATGTGAATAACCAATCGAAAGCTCAGAATGTCCCCTACTGACTTTCTCAGCTATTTTCATGTGATAGAATGCCATATCGTTCCTCCAAACCACGATTTCAAGGAGGTAGGTTGTGTCTTTAATCTGCTCAAAATTTCATATATTTTAGACCCAAATATAGCTTAGTTACTAAAACTGATAGGTTATAATGGAATTCTATGGTATTGATGTAGTCATTTATGATTTTCTTGATTATTCAAATGTATATATAAAACCTAGAAAAAAAATATTTTGTTTCATATTGTTACGTCTCCGTTTGTTAATTAATTTTCCATAACTTCGTTCCGACGAAACTTTAACGACACAAGTCCTTACTTAATAAAACTGGTTTATTCTTTCTGAATATAACTTTACCGATACACTTATTTTCAACAGTCGCTCTATAACAAATGCTATAACAACGAAGGTTAACTTCAACAATACTTTCTGACTGCAGTTCAATTACTCACTACCTACACACATTGTCATGTCATGCCGTGACCATTTTACATATACCAGACTACCCCAATCTAGCAAATGCTAGAGCACTCCCGAAGGAACAGGATAGTTCTAGAAAGCAGGTGGCGTGACACTAGTCACGTGACCTCGCTGACGCAACACTGCCCCCTCCTTAGTATTGTTCGTCCCAAACAATAGCCACTTACAATAAACCAATAACAATTAACAATAACTTAATTAAATGTACAGAATTACAAACACAAAATTACAATTCAACAAAGTCTCTTAATTTTACGGGACGTATCTTCTTCCGTACTGGTCTCCGTCTCGTTGGCTTCTGCTTCACGTGGGGTTCATCTGCATCATCAGGAAATGTCCTATTGTCAGTAACAGTCCCATCAGTGGTAGTAACTTCATCAAGAGCTTCACCGTTTCCCTTCTCAAAAACTGAGTAGAGTTTCTTCTTCGATGGCTTCTTCAGGTGGCACGACTTCAGCAGCGTCATTTGTTCTGTTGTCCAAACTGAAA